GCGGTGTGTGGAGGGGGGAGGTATTTGTGAATTTCCTGCATAGCGCAAGAGGTTGGACTAGATGACCCTGGAGGTCCCTTCCAACTCTAGGATTCTATGATACCGCTCTAGCTTAGCAAATCGAAGTCCCAGTGATAGGTCACCCAGATTCAGTAAAGCAGACCCAGCAGGACTGCCATCAACCTGCTCCTTTGCTGAAGGGTTTTGTCTTGAGTCTCTGGCTGCCTTTTGTGGGAGAAGGAACTAGAAAGGCTGTCCGCAAAAATGGCTCGGGAAAACTGTCTCTCCCCTAGCCGGTGCCATGTTGGCACGATGCGCAGCCTTCACAAAATCAGTTTTTGTCTTGGCACAGAATTTGAGGCAATTATCCCCCCCCTCATTTCAGCTCTAGGCTGTTGCTTGAATGAACTAGAATTACTTCCTGCGTTTGAAAGAACTTAACGCCAAATGAGTCTCCAAAGTAGGGGTTTCAGCCTTTGGCCTGGATGGGCACAGGGAAGGCCAGTGGATTACTGGCACAGAGTAGCACAGATCCTAAGGGGCTGTGGTGAAGACACTGAACTGCAGACCAGAAGGTCGCTAGTTCAGCAGTTCGAGACCTGAGCGCCGCAGGACGGAGTGAGCTCCCGTCTCTGGCCCCAGCTCCTGCCAACCTAGCAAGTCGAAAGCAAGAAATTGCAAGTAGATGAACAGGTACTGCTTCGGTGGGAAAGTAACAGCATTCCGTGCGCCTCGGCGTCTAGTCATGCTGGTGTCCACGGAGACGTCTTCGGACAGCGCTGGCTCTTTGGCTTGGAAACAGAGATGAGCACCACATCCTAGAGTTGGATTCGACTGGCTTTCGAGCAAGGGAAGCCATTACCTTTACCTTCGCACAGATCCACCAAACTCCACCAGTCTTGGAACGTCTTTGGCCTTTACCTAATCTCTTTTTCACTCCTGCAACGTTTGCCTTCCAGGTACAACAGGAGCGCCGGCTACGTCCCGTCCATGTTCCTCCGGCCGTACAAAAACCCACATAGCAAATTCCTGGCTCTCGCCCACAGCAGCCTGTGCATCTCCACCCCGAACCTCTCCGAAGGCACCACGTTCTTCAGGAGGAGCGCCCCAGACCAGCCGGAGGCCAGCCACCTGGACACAGCCCAGCCTCACTCAACAAGTGACATTGAGGGAGAGAAAGACAGCCCCCTAAGTCGAATCAGGTCTCGGTCTTTCAACGGGGCCGCAGCCGTAGCCAGCTCCGCCATGGCCTTTGACCGGGACAGCTTGTCAGAGAGCTCGGGAAGCGTGAGCGAGCAGGGGTTGTACTGGGCCCGGAAAATAGAAGTCCAAAGCTTGGGGAACATTCCCCAGTCCGTCTCAGGGACCCACAGTGGGCCCTCCTTGCTTCTGGACAGCAAGCAGCGAAGCGACTCCGGCTTCGGCGAGGAGCCGTTTGCCTGTGCGGAGAGCTCCCTCCGCTCCTCCTCAGATTCCGAGGGCACTCCCGGCGGCCCCCCGGTGCCCCCACGACCCTCGGCCCACGAAATCCTTCAGAAGTGCAGCACCATAACCAAAATGGCCGTGCAGGGGGCGAGGCCCCGACCCGCCCTGCTCACCTGCTCTGGGAGCCGCCACTGCTGACCCACGTCCGACGTCAAAGTCGCCTCAAGCTGAGGAAACCGCAAGCAGTGGTCGGCAACCCCCGTTTTTAGGAGCTGTGAAAAAAGGCTCACGCGAGGCGGCAGGAGCTGTTGGGACCCCGTTACGTGGTGCAGAGGGCACAGCGTCCCTTCCCTCCTGCGGAACCAATGTTTTGTATGTATTTCAACAGTTTGGTAAAAAAACACACCATGTTTTACACTCTTTTAAAAATAGTATGTGTGCTCGGCCGGGGATTTGAATTTAATGGTTTTATCATGTTCCCCATCCTGACTTCACTGTGCAAGTTGCAAGAGGAGCCCTGCCAAATGCAACCGGTAATAAAACTTCCCCTTCCTGGGTTTATAGAAGTCTTCTAGAAGGCAAATGCTACATTTCCGTCAGAGAAGGCTTTGCCAAAGCTCTCGAGTTCACCCCTGAACTCCGTTTGCTGTTGTTCCCTTCTGTAACATATTACTTCGAAGGTCATAGATCCAGAGGAGCTAGCCGTGTTAGTCTATTGCTGCAAAATAGTAAAAAGCCCAGGGGCACCTTGAAGAATTGACTTTATTGTCACATAAGCTTTTGAGAAACACAGCTCTCTTCGTCAGATGCATCTGGCGAAGAGAGCTGTGTTTCTCTCTTTTTTTTTAAAATAAATTTATTTTCCAAGTTTTCACCTTTACATTCCGTAAACATCAAACATTTATACATCTCCACAGATTGTTGGTTTCAAATTATAATATTTTCACTAGCGCTTTGTCCACACATTATACTCTTCTTTTATATTTTAGCCAGTCGTATATATACTTCCAGTCGTATATATACTTCCATCTTTTCCAAAATACATTCTCTGATTTGTTTTTCAATTCTAAGCTCAGTTTATCCAATTCTGCAATGTCTAAAATCTTATGTTTGAGTTCTTTTATCGATGGTATATGTTTTGATTTCCACCGTCTTGCTATCAATATTCTTGCTGCGAGAGCTGTGTTTCTCGAAAGCTTATGCGACAATAAAGTTTGTTAGTCTTTTTTTTATTAACAATTTGTACACCTTTTAATCTTTGAACAATTCAACCAATCAACATATGACAACATAATGATAGAATATCTTGAAACTTATACATTATTTCTCATTCAATCAGCTTGTACATTCAAAATATATCAAGTTTGTTAGTCTTAAAGGTGCTATATTATTTCGGAGAAATCCCTTTTTCCTACCATGGCTACTTTCCCCCCTTCTGGTAAGAAGAGAAGAGATTGGATTTATACCCCATCCTTCACTACCCAAAGGAGTCTCAGAGTAATTTACAATCTCCTTCCCTTCCCCTCTCCACAACAGACACCCTGAGAGGTAGGTGGGGCTGAGAGAAATCCTGAGAACTGCCCTTGAGAGAACAGCTCCAAGAGAACTTGTGACTGACCCAAAGTCACACCAGCCCTTGCATGTAGAGGAGTAGGGGATCAAACCCGGTTCTCCCTGATTAGAGTCCACGCTCCTAGCCACTACACCATATTGGCTCAAACACCTATGGAGGCCATAGCGAGTTTTCAGAACGACAGAGACTCCGGTATAGTTGTTAAAAAGGGGGAAAGGGACGAACCTGAGCGAGACTGTCTCCTCCCCTATGTCCCCGTGTACCAACTACAGTCAGGCAATCATCTGCATTAATAATGGAATTGTTTTATGTGGTTTTAACCAGGGCTATTTTGGGGCAGGAACGCACAGGAACGGAGTTCCGGCTGGCTCCCAAGTTGGCCACGCCCAGCAGGGACTCATAGCATAATGGGCCACACCCAACAGCAGAAACTCATTCTGATTGGCTACAATCAGGGGTGTGTGGCCTAACATGCAAAAAGCCCTGGGTTTTGACAACAAACAAGGTAAAGAGAATAAGAAGCAAAAGGTGGGTGTGGCTGGATGACCACACTTCTGGTAATGTGGGGGTGTGGCCTAATAGGCAAACGAGCTGTGCTGTCAGGGGTGGGGCCTAATATGCAAATGAGTTCCTGCTGTTGGGCATGGCCTGTTATGCTAATGAGTTCCTGCTGGGCTTTTTCTACAAAAAGAGCCCTGGCTTTAACTGTATTTTATATATTGACAGTGGGCCGCCCTGAGCCTGCATTGCGGGGAGAGCGGGGTGGAAATGTGATAAATACAGGGCTATTTCTGGGCAGGAACGCACAGGAACGGAGTTCCGGCTGGCTCCCAAGTTGGCCACACCCAGCAGGAACTCATTAGCATAATAGGCCACACCCAACGGCAGGAACTCATTAGCATAATAGGCCACACCCAACGGCAGGAACTCATTAGCATAATAGGCCACACCCAACGGCAGGAACTCATTAGCATAATAGGCCACACCCAACGGCAGGAACTCATTAGCATAATAGGCCACACCCAACGGCAGGAACTCATTAGCATAATAGGCCACACCCAACGGCAGGAACTCATTAGCATAATAGGCCACACCCAACAGCAGAAACTCATTCACCTATTAGGCCACACCCCCCTAATGTAGCCAATCCTAATGAGTTCCTGCTGGGCTTTTTCTACAAAAAAAGGCCCTGGTTTTAACTGTATTTTATATACTGACAGTGGGCCGCCCTGAGCCTGCATTGCGGGGAGGGAATGTGATAAATAAATAAACAAACCACCTGTGGGCCCTCCCACCACTTGGGGGGGGGGGGTCCCATCGGGCACTGACCAGCTCCTAGGCCTTTGCCATCGTGGCTCTGACTCAGTGGAAAGGGGTGCCTGATGAGGCAAGAGGGGCCCCCCTCCTCGGGGGTCTTCAGGAGGCACTGCAAGTCCTGTCCGTTCACCAGAGCTTTCAAGGTGGGTGTGAACAGCAGGCATCTTATAAAAGGGGGGGGTGGGGATACAGTGTTCCCTCTAAGCTGAGTGAGCGTGAGCCGGCTCAAAGTTTTTCATCCTCCGCCTCACACATTTGGGTCTCAGCTCAGGAAGGAGGGCTCCAGGCCAAACGAATCTGTGCAGCAGCCAAACGGCTCACTCACGCCTTTAATGCCAGCATCTGACAAGGCAGAGGTTTTGCTCACAGGGCTCCACGGCTTAGAGGGAGCCTTGGATTTGGAGTTTGCTATTTTACCTTTGGTTTTCGCTTGGGATGCTTTAACGATTGCTGTCAGCTGCCTCGAACCACGAGGAAAGACGGAACGTGTTTTAATAAAGGAATATTAACCCATAGGACCGTGCTAATCTTCTCTGTATCGTTCCAATTTTAGTATATGTGCTGTTGTAGTTTGTAGAGTTATAAAAAATGCAATTAAAAAATCCCCTCAGGGGGCTTAAAAAAAAAACATAGGAGATACAGAGACATGTTGCTTTATAACATTATTTTTAAAAAAACACCACCGCCAAACATTTATTTATAAAAATATTTAGAAATTAGCTGTGCGCAAAAATGCCAGCCAAGATGCACAGCTGGGGGAGCAGCTAGAGGGGGGGGGGGCTGGGTAGGCCACGGCCTCTCCGTCCTCGACTGGCTCCCCGCACACCCCAGTCATGTGCTCATGTCCTCGTCCCGTCGGGAGGCGTCGCCCAGCCTCATGCTCTGCCACATGAAGTCCAGGAAGGTGGTGGCCTGCAGCAGTCGGCCCAGCCGCTGGAAGTGGCGCTCTACAGAAACGAGAAGGCCAAGAGGGGGAAAAGTCAGAGAGCGGGCAGCCTGGGATTCGACAGGTTCCCGGGCCGGGGGGGCAGGAAGGTCTCGTCCAGGCAGTCAGGGCCTGAATCTCAGAAAACAATTCTTCCTTCTGTTGTGTTTTCATAAAGCGGCTCATTTATTTATTTATCACATTAGATTTCCTCGGCCGCCCTTCCCGACACGTAGGGCTCAGGAAGGCTTACAACACAATAGGTAAAGGTTCCCTTGCTCGAAAGCCAGTCGAATCCGACTCTAGGGTTGCAGTGCTCATCTCCGTTTCAAGGAAAGTCAGGGCGGGCGGCCTGAGATTCAACAGGTTCCCAGGACGGAGGGCAGGGAGATCTCGTCCGGGCGGTCAGGGCCTGAACCTCAGAAAAGGATTCTACCTTCCGTTGTGTTTTCGGAAGGGGCCTAGGGCTCTTTTTGTAGCAGGTACTCCTTTGCATATTAAGCGACACACCCCTAAGGTAGCCAATCCTCCAAGAGCTCCTGTAAGAAGAGCTCTGTAAGCTCTTGGAGGATTGGCTACATTAGGGGGTGTGTGGCCTAATATGCAAAGGAACTCCTGCTACAAAAAGAGCCCATTAGGCCGCCCTTCCCGACAAGTAGGGCTCAGGGCAGCTTACGGCAGAACAGCATGCAATAAATGAGCCCGCTTGCAGGGAGGGCGGGGTATAAATACAATAAATGAATACATAAATAAATAATGTAAGTTGAAACCAACATTAAAACTACCCAAAAGCAGATCGAGAAATAAAACAGTAATGCAGCCCGAGATGGGGGGGGGGGGACTCCAGCTCCCAGTGGTGTTCCCTCTAAGCTGAGTTAGCGTAAGCGATCTCACAGTTTTTTAGCATCCGGCTCACCCATTGTTTGTCTCAGCTCAGGAAGGATGGCTCCAGAGCAAACTGATTTATGCAGCAGCCCAATCGCTCGCTCTCAGCTTGAATGCCAGTAGCTCACAAGGTAGCATTTTTGCTCGCGAGACTCCACAGCTTAGAGGGAGCCTTGCTCCCCAGCCTCCCAGCCGAGTTTGCAAGGGATGGGGGGAGTATTTGAGACTGCCAGATGTTTCTACTGTCTCCCCTCGCTGTCCTCAACCGAAGGCCTGGCGGGACATCTCTGCCTTACACGTCCTGCGGAAAGGCAGTTAATTCCTACAGGGCACAGATGTCTTCGGGCAGAGCGTTCCACCAGACGGGGAGCCACGACCGAAAAAGCCCTGGCCCGGGTTGAGGACAGCCGGATCTCTCTTGGGCCGGGGAGTGTTCCCTCTAAACTGAGTTAGTGTGAGCTAGCCTCCGGCTCACACGTTTTTGTCTCAGCTCAGGGAGGACGGCTCCAAAGCAGACTAATGTATGCTGCGGCCAGATCGCTCGCTCACAACTTTAAGGCCGGTAGCTCACAAAGCAGAAGTTTTGCTCACAAGACTCCAAAGCTTAGCGGGAGCATTGCCGGTGACCACCGGGAGGTTCTTATTCCCTGAGCGTAGCACTTTTCCAGGGGCATCCTGAGAGAGGCGGTCCTGAAGGTATGTGGGTCCCTGACCGCTACGTGCCTTGAAGATCAAGAGAGGAGAGGAGAGATTGGAGGAGAGATGGGATTTATACCCCGCCCTTCACTACCCAAAGGTGCCTCAGAGCGGCTTACAAACTCCTTTCCCTCCCCCTCCCCACAACAGACACCCTGTGAGGTAGTTGGGGCTGAGAGAGCTCTGACAGAAACTGCTCTTTTTCCAGAACAGCTGTGCCAGAGTTATGGCCTGCCCAAGGTCATCCAGCCAGGTGCAAGTGGAGGAGTGGGGAATCAAACCCGGTTCTCCCAGATTAGAGTCCACGCACTTAACCACTACACCAAACTGTCAAGACAAAGGTAACGGAGCGACCAGCCCTCAGAAGCTCTCCCAGCAGATTGCAAAGGACCCGGTCCTCCGGAGGGCTTCCGCAGGTGTTTCCTACCTGGCAGCCTGCTTTGGGGAGGTGTCGCTTACCTGTGTAGGGCAGGAGAGACTCCACGGCCCGGTTGATCCCTTCCAGCTGCAAGAGGGACTCGGGCGACTCGTGCTTCAGGAGGGTCTGGACCACAGCCTGGGCCTGGTGGCAGTTCCGCGAGTTCGTGTTCCAAGCGACGGCGTATTTCAGCACGGCCTCTGGAGCACGGCAAGGGGGGGGGGACAAGACAAAAGGCATTATCAGGAAAGCACTAACCACACAACAAGACGACAAGAAGCTGTAAACAAGCGTGACACGAAACACTGGAATTGTCATTACAATATAATCTTTCAACGAAGCAATCAAAACATGTACAATGTGCATAAGGGGGTCCCGTCTACAGTCGTGCCGGCAGTTGACGAAGTTCTCCGGAATGTCTGTTCGTTTCGCAAGGACTTCCTCCGAATGGGACCGTATAAACAAAGTTGTGTCTTCTGTCCTTATTCATCATCGAATGAGTTTACAATAGCCATATTTTCTCACAGCAAATTTCGTTACTTGTCATGTTCAGTGTCTCTAGTCAGACTGCCCTCTTTGAACATACCCCGGTGGGGGTCACAAAGCGGCTGACGTCATTCTCTTTTCCTCCTTTTCTTGCTCACAACAACCCTGTGAGGTAGGTTAGCCTGAGAATGGGGGTGACTGGCCCCCAAGGGCACCCAGGAATCTTCTGTGGCACAGCCGGTGTTCGACCCTGAGCGTCCCATAATCTGACACTCTAAGCGCTACACGACACTGGCTCTCAGAGGAAGGGAGCGTTGACTCTCTGGGTCAGACCAGTGAGGGTCCCTCTAGTCCAGCATCCTGTCTCACACAGTGGCCAACCAGTTACTCTGGAGGGCCAACAACGGGGCATGGAGGCCAAGGCCTTCCCCTGAGAAGAACCTCAGAAGAGCCCTGCTGGGTCAGACCAGGGAGGGTCCATCCAGTCCAGCATCCCGTCTCACACAGTGGCCAGCCAGTTCCTCTGGAGGGCCAGCAACAGGGCACGGAGGCCAAGGCCTTCCCCTGAGAAGAACAACAGAAGAGCCCTGCTGGGCCCATCCAGTCCAGCATCCTGCCTCACACAGTGGCCAACCAGTTCCTCCGGAGGATCAACAACAGGGCAGAGAGGCCGAGGCCTTCCCCTGATGTTGCCTCCTGGTTCTGGGATTCAGAGGATTAGTGCCTCTGAATGTGGAGGTTCCCTTTAGTCACCGTGGCTAGGAGCCATTGATAGACTTATCCTCCATGGATCTAATCCCCCTTTTCAAGCTGTTGACTCCTGTGGCCATACTCTGGTAATGAATCCCACATTTTAATCTCCGCTCCTCTGGGAGATGTCGGGACCACCAAAGGAGCCAGATGCTGTCTGTTCTGGCACAAAAGGGGGTGACACAGCAGAGTCTGCCGATTCCATGGCACATGCGCAGACCTGAACACGTGAAGCTGCCTTATACCGAATCAGACCCTGGATCCATCCAAGACAGTCTTGCCTGCTCAGACTGGCGGCAGCTCTCTGGGGTCTCAGGCAGAGAAAGGTCTTTCCCATCACCTACCGACTGGTCCTTTCTTAACCGGAGAGGGATTGAACCTGGGACCTTCGGAATGCCGCGCAGAAGCTCTGCCGCTGAGGCAGACAACTTTTGGGGTGTCCCGGACAAGACGCCAACCCACCTTTCTGGTCTTTCCGCAGCTTCAGCAGATTCGTCTCCAAGTCCTCCTTTCCACTGGTTTCCTTGAGGATAGCTACAAGGAAATCAAGATGGGCAATCAATTTTAGGGGGGGGGCAATGAAAAATAAAATCGGCAGTCCCTAAGAGTCAGCCCTGACATGGCCTCTTGCTCCTGTTTGGATAACTAAAGAGAATGATACAAGAAGAGGAGGAAGAGGAGGAGGAAGAGGAGGAGGAGGAGGAGGAAGAGGAGGAGGAAGAGGAGGAGGAAGAGGAGGAAGAGGAGGAGGAAGAGGAGGAAGAGGAGGAGGAAGAGGAGGAAGAGGAGGAGGAAGAGGGGGAAGAGGAGGAGGAAGAGGAGGAAGAGGAGGAAGAGGAGGAAGAGGAGGAGGAGGAGGAAGAGGAGGAGACTGGATTTACACCCCGCCCTTCACTTGGAGTTTCAGAGCGGCTTACAATCTCCTTTCCCTTCCCCTCCCCACAACAGACACCCTGGGAGGGAGGTGGGGCTGAGAGAGCTCTGACAGAAACTGCTCTTTTTCAAGGACAGCTGTGCCAGAGCTTGCGACTGACCCAAGGTCACCCAGCAGGTGCAAGTGGAGGAGTGGGGGAATCAAACCCCGTCCTCCCAGATTGGAGTCCGCGCAGTTAACCACGACACCAAACTGGCTACAACTGAAGTCCAGGGGCATCTTTTAAAGACCAACAGTATTTAATGCAGTATGTTAAGTTTATTTATTTATTTATACCAATATTGTTAGCCCTGGATCTTCTGCATTATTTTGCCACCGCACATAACGTGTGTTGCACCCATCGGAGGAGGAGGAGGACAAGAAGAAGGAGAAGGAGGAGGACGAGAAGGAGAAGAAGATTGGATTTATACCCCGCCCTTCCCTCCCTCAAGAGTCTCAGAACAGCTTACAGTCTCCTTCCCTACCTCTCCCCACAACAGACACCCTGTGAGGGAGGTGGGGCTGAGAGAGCTCTCTCGAGAACCTGACCCAAGGTCACCCAGCTGGTTGCATGTGGAGTGGGGAATCAAACCAACGTCTCCAGATTAGAGTCCACTCAGAGAAGAAGAAGGATTTATACCCCACCATTCACTTGGGAGTCTCAGAGCGGCTTACAATCTCCTTTCCTTTCCCCTCCCCACAACAGACACCCTGTGAAGCAGGTGGGCCTGAGATAACTCTTTTGAGAACTGCTCTTGAGAGAACAGCTCTGAAATAACTTGTGGCTGACCCAAGGTCACACCAGCTGCTGCATGCGGAGGAGTGGGTAATCAAACCTGGTTCTCAGATTAAGAGTCCACTGCTCCTAACCATTCCACCAAACTGAGAGATATTTCCACAAGGCCTCAACTGCCTGTAGTTTCCCAAGGCAAGGAACAGAGTGACCCACAATGCTGGATCGCTTCTTTTATTGCTTGAAATTCAAGATTCTCTGCTGCCTATTCAAGCTTGGGCCCAGTCGCAAATGTGTGCATATCTGTGTGCACAGGGCTCTTTCTTTTTGTAGAAAAAGCCCAGCAGGAACTAATTAGCATAATAGGCCACACCCAACAGCAGGAACTCATTAGCATATTAGTCCACACCCCTGACAGCACAGCTCATTACCACATTAGGCCACACCCCCATGTTACCAGAAGTGTGGTTATCCAGCCACGCCCACCTTTTGCTTGTTATTCTGTTTACCTTGTTTGTGGTCAAAACCCAGGGCCTTTTTTTGTAGCAGGAACTCCTTTGCATGTTAGGCCACACACCCCTAATGTAGCCAATCCCAATGAGTTCCTGCTGTTGGGTGTGGCCTATTATGCTAATGAGGTCCTGCTGGGCGTGGCCAACTCCGGAGCCAGCCGGAACTCCGTTCCTGTGCGTTCCTGCCCCAAAATAGCCCTGTGTGTGCATATTAAACTTAAAAAAAAAGAAGGCTTCAAAACACCAAATTCCTGTCCCCCTAAATCCAGCTAAATCCTCCTAAAATTGCTAAGGCAGCTACTATGCTAGGCAGATGGGGGGGGTGGAGTCAGCCCCTCCTCCCCAACCAAGCAGTATCCTCTTTCATCCCAGTATGCACAGGATCAGGCTGCAAGACCCACGGAATGCAGGGCGAGTGGGGGGTGGGTGGACTTCACTGGGCTTCCCCCCCCAAGCTTGAGGGGCCCTTTCCTCCTCCTCGGCAAGACCTTACCCTTGATCACCGTCAGCGCCGTGTGCGGCCGGTCCAGGGAGATCGCCAAGCCCAGCGCTTTAAGGTACCGCTTCTCGTGCAGCAAGTTCGACAGCTCCTGCTCCCTGAAAGCACAGCGGAAGGACAAGAGGGGGTGGGCTGGGCGGCAGACACTGAACAACAAGGCCTTTCTGGCCCCCGTGATCGCCAAGGCTGATCTAAACTGGCGGACGCCGGGTCTGCTTTGAGGGCACGCCTCCTGGTTTTGGAGGCAGCGTGTCCATCCCCCCCAACATTAACACACACACACCCCACTTCCCACGGGTATCGCTTTATTCTCTGCCGCTTCTCTCGTCCGCAATTTGCCACAGCAATTAACACTATCTATAACTTAAAATCAAATAAAGCTCCAAAGTATTCCAAAGTGTCAATCCTGATGAAGGGATCGATCACCCACTGAAAATCGGGAGAGTGGGTGAGCTACCTCGAGACGTAAGGCCTGGATTCACTTGCTTCATGGACATTTGTGTTTTTCCAGTTTGGAACTGAAAAGCCTTTTCTCCATGTTGGAACAGTGACGTTTTCTTTCTGGGATTGTCGCGTTTCCTTCAAGTTCTTAACTTGTCTGCGTACCCATTGTTTTGAATAGTAGATTTAAATAAGAATGTTTAAATAACAAGAATTGTTTAAGGATTGGAATACTTTGGAGCTTTATTTGGTGTTAAGTTATATATGGTCTACACAATGGTCTACACGCTGAGCTGCAGGCTGTGGAAGGTCGGTAGTTCAGCAGTTCAAGACCCGAGTGTGCCGCATGACGGAGTGAGCTCCCGTCTCTAGTCCCAGCTCCTGCCAACCTAGCAGTTCGAAAGCAAGACATTGCAAATAGATAAATAGGTACCACTTCGGTGGGAAGGTAATAGCATTCCGTGCGCCTTGGTGTTTAGTCATGCCGGCCACATGACCACGGAAACGTCTTCGGACAGCGCTGGCCCTTCGGCTTTGAAACAGAGATGAGCACCGCAACCCTAGAGTCGGACTCGACTGGCTTTCGAGCAAGGGAAACCTTTACCTTTTATATATGGTCTACACGATTCATCAATTTCCTTAAACTGTTGTACGGCACTTAACACAGGATGCCTGGCACCCCCCCCCCACACACACACCCTTCCTTTGTTGAGATCAGCAATCTGGAGTCTAAACAGTGCAACGAGGGATACGGCTGGACGTAACCGAACCCATACCAGCGTGGAGGGGCTGCATCATCCCTACATTCCATATAACATCTATCACAATTACAGCTAATGTTCACTGACTGTGTAATCCAGTAATGCAGGCTTGGAAACAGCACACTGGCAATGGAGTGGCAGAAGTCCATCAGTGGCTCACAGCCACAAGGTCTAAATGGAACACCCTGTCCAGGGCAGGGATGCTCTGTCTTCTTGGTGCTTGGGGGGCAAGTGGGAGGGCTTCTGGGGTTCTGGCCCTGCTGGTGGACCTCCTGAGGACACCTGGGATTCGACCACTGTGTGACACAGAGAGTTGGACTGGATGGGCCATTGTCCTGAGTCAACATGTCTTCTCTCATGTTCTTATGTCTGGGGCAGTGATGCTTTGTCTTCTTGGTGCTTGGGGGGCAAGAGTGGGAGGGCTTCTGGAGTTCTGGCCCTGCTGGTGGACCTCCTGAGGACACCTGGGATTCGACCACTGTGTGACACAGAGAGTTGGACTGGATGGGCCATTGGCCTGATCCAAGGTGTCTTCTCTCATGTCTGGGGCAAGTGATGCTCTGTCTTCTTGGTGCTTGGGGGGGGAGCAACAGTGGGAGGGCTTCTGGAGTTCTGGCCCTGCTGGTGGACCTCCTGAGGGCACCTGGGATTCGACCACTGCGTGACAACCCGTCCACCTGCTGCCTCCCCAAGTGTCTGCTCCCCCAGCTCGCCCCCACAGAAAGAAGCTCCCCGGGGGACCACTTACTTCAGGATCTGCTCTTCTTGCTTCGCCTGCTCCTCTTCGAGTTCCAGTTCAGTGACGTCCTGCAATGCACAAGGACGTTAAAAAGGAAACTAAATTTAAGGGGGGGGGAGAATGGCCTAACAGAATGGGCTGATAGCTTTTTCAAGCTGTCTGCTCTTGGAGAGGTGGGTGCCTAGGATAAAAACTGCAGCTGTAATGTGGAAGACGACCCTGGTCTCCTCTCCTCTATGACAATCCCCCCCCCCCACACGCACAGTTACATCCAATGTTCCCACTAAGCTGAGTTGGTGTCCACGAGCTCACAGTTTTTTAGCCTCTGGCTCACACATTTTTGCCTCAGCTCAGGAAGGAGAGCTCCAGAGCAAACTAATTTATGCACTAGCCAAATCACTCACTCACAGCTTTAATGCCAGGAGCTCACCAAGTAGACTATTTGCTCATAAGACTCCACAGCTTAGAGAGAGCATTGGTTACATCAATTTGCAGATATCGGCACGAAAGAAGCAATCTGAAGGTTTACATCTGATTGAGTGCAGGATTTGCAATTTGCCTGGGACAGAATTCACAGAGATTTGAGAGGGAGATATTTTGCAAGATCTCAGAGAGAAATCAGATTGTTGCTTTTATGGACCCGACTGCTGTGCATTCAACATGGGGGCCTTGGGAAGAAAAGCCACAGATCTGCCCATCTCCAAGTCCTCTCCGCTGTTTATGTGCTTTTATTTCTTTACATTATTTTTAGTCCGCCTTTCTCACAGGAATTTCTCAAGACGGACTGAACACATGAAATTGCCTTATACTGGATCAGACCCTGGGGCCATCAAAGTCAGTATTGCCTACTCAGACTGGCAGCGGCTCTCCAGGGTCTCAGGCAGAGGTCTTTGACTCACCACTTCGTCCTTTCGAATGGAGATGCCAAGGATTGAACCCGAGACCTTCTGCACGCCAAGCAGAGGCTCTGCCACTGAGCCACAGCCCCTCTTGATAGCTCTCCAGGGTCTCAGGCAGAGATCTTTCCCATCCCCTCCTGCCTGGTCCTTCTTAACCGGAAATGCCGGGGACTGAACCTGGGACCTTCTGCATGCCAAGCAGATACTCTGCCACTGAGCCACAGCCCCTCTTGATAGCTCTCCAGGGTCTCAGGCAGAGATCTTTCCCATCCCCTCCTGCCTGGTCCTTCTTAACCGGAAATGCCGGGGACTGAACCTGGGACCTTCTGCATGCCAAGCAGATACTCTGCCACTGAGCCACAGCCCCTCTTGATAGCTCTCCAGGGTCTCAGGCAGAGATCTTTCCCATCCCCTCCTGCCTGGTCCTTCTTAACCGGAAATGCCGGGGACTGAACCTGGGACCTTCTGCATGCCAAGCAGATGCTCTACCATTAAGCCACAGCTCCTCTTCTCAGCTCTCCGGGGTCTCAGGCGGAGGTCTTTCCCATCACCTCCTGCCTGGTCCTTCTTAACCGGAAATGCCGGGGACTGAACCTGGGACCTTCTGCATGCCAAGCAGATGCTCTGCCACTGAGCCGTGGCCCCTCATTACAGTTCTCCAGGATCTCGGATAGAGGTCTTTCACTTTGACTCACCACTTGGTTCTTTCGACTGGAGATGCCAAGGACAGAACCAGGGACCTTCTGCATGCCAAGCAGATGCTCTACGGAGCCACGGCCCCTCCCCACTCCCCACAGAGAGTCAGTACAGTCAACAAAATGGGACATTCCATGACCGGCACATTAGGATTTCAGAAGTCTGGAACCACCAGAAAGAACTTTACTTCTTGACAGTTCTGCAGTGGTGGAATCGGCTGCCTCAGGTGGTGAGCACCCCCACCCTTGCAGTCTTGAAGCAGTGGGTCAGACTAGATGGCCTCTGTAGCCCCCTTCCAACTCTGGGATTCTCAAGGCACATTAAGCGGTGCAGAAATACCATAACAGGCCCCAACGTACAGTAACTATACACAGCACTGTAGACCACACAGTCCCCGATCATTTATCCAGGCAAGTCTGTTCATGAGCGAGCTGAGCCAGACCCCTTGAATCCCGTACCTTCCACAGCACGATGGAAGAATCGCTGGAACCAGTAACCACCATGTCATCCTGCCTGTTGGCGTGGAGGCCCCAAACTTTTTCCTCATGGCCGTCCAAGGTCTTGACGCACTCATTGTTTTTTAGTGTCCAGAGTTTCAGGAGGCCGTCAGAGCCGCTTGGAAGAAAGGGAACAAGATCAAAAGGTCTTGAGATCTAACGTACTGATTGGCACTAAAGGGCAAGGCATGCGGGGGAAGAAGGGGAGGAGAGTGGATTTATCCCCCGCCCTTCACTCAGGGTGGCTTACAAACTCCTTTCCCTTCCCCTCCCCACAGCAGACGCCCTGTGAGGCAGGTGGGGCTGAGAGAGCTCTTGACAGAAACTGCTCTTTTTCAAGGACAGCTCTGACAGAACTATGGCTTGCCCAAGGTCATCCAGCAGCTGCAAGTGGAGGAGTGGGGGAATCAAACCCGGTTCTCCCAGATTAGAGTCTGCACACTTAACCACTACACCAAACTGGCTACACCAAAAGGGGGGGGGGGCCCTCTGCAAATTAATGCAAAGATTCCGCTCGGCTCCCTTACAGAAATGTGTAGATTTCTCTCTCGAAGGACTGGAAGGATTTTAAGATTTCATTTCAAACCAACAGTAGCAGGATTCTAGTCCACAGAGGATACAGTACAAACAGGAATGTTTAGAGACAGATAGGTCCAGAGCTAGGAACAGGGGGGGTGGAGGTTGGAGTTAGGTACTAGGCCTGCAAAGAACCAAGACAACTCTCTTCAGCAGTATCATAGAGCTTTAAGTGACCAAGGATTTTCCCACTCCTGCCCAGATTACAAATTCTAATTGCAAAGGGTGAGGTTCCTTTGCACCTGGTTTTTGGCCATGTGTGATACAGTGTTGGACTGGATGGGCCACTGGCCTGATCCAACATGGTTTCTCTTATGTTCGTATGTCTGGGGCAGTGATGCTCTGTATCCTTGGTGCTTGGGAGGGGGGCAAGAGTGGGAGGGCTTCTGGAGTTCTGGCCCTGCTGGTGGACCTCCTGATGGCCCCTGGGTTTTGGCCCCTGTGTGACACAGAGTGTTGGACTGGATGGGCCATTGGCCTGCTCCAACATGGCTTCTCTTACGTTCTCATTGGGCAGAGTTAAACCAACGGCAATGGTGTCACGGTCAATGTTCCCTCTAAGCTGTGGAGTCTTGTAAGCAAAAATTCTACTTTGTGAGCTACTGGCATTAAAACTGTGAGCGAGCGATTGGGCTCCTGCATAGTTTGCTCTGGAGCCCTCCTTCCTGAGCTAAGACAAAAATGTTTGAGCCGGAGGCTAAAAAACGGTGAGCCGGCTCACACTAACTCAGCTTAGAGGGAACACTGGTCACGGTTACTGCGTGCACCCGTCCCTTAGTTGGGATGCCGCAACTGCCAGTTCCACGTCATTATCTGGCTCTGAACTCCCAATGTCTGCTGCAGAGTCTTGTAGGTTCTCAAAGTCTGCCGCTTTGGAGAAGCCAGACAGCATGTTTAATTAGTATATAATATACAATTTCAACCAGTACAGCAATGCAGTGATTGTCTATTTTGCAGTTCCACTGATGAAGTATGCCAAAATGAGGCTTACATGTCCGGAATCCTCGTGTGATTTCTGACTTTGACTTCTGATTTTGATCCTTTTGGACTTATTTTCTTGGTCTGATGTGGATCCTTTTTGTTCTACCATTCTTTAATATGTCTTATGAGATTCTGTTATGTTATTCGATGTATCACATAATTTCATAATCTTTTATTATTAATACATACGTCTGCTCAGTGTTCCCTCTAAGCTGAGTTAGTGTGAGCTAGCTCACAGTTTTTTAGACTCCGGCTCACACATTTTTGTCTCCGCTCAGGAAGGAGGGCTCCAGAGCAAACTGATTTATGCAGCAGCCAAATCGCTCACTCACAGTTTTAATGCAAGTAGCTCACAAAGTAGAATTTTTGCTCACAGAACTCTACAGCTTACAGAGAGCGTTGCTTATATTATAAATTTTTGTGTTTTATTGCAGTGTATTTGTCATTACTGTGTCTGCGTTGGAGCAGCTAACAGACCCAACTGAGGACAGCGCTGCTCTCTGCGCCCAAGCTGCAATGACCACAGCCTCCTCCCCCTCCCCCTCCTCTTCTTCTTAATATATGTATTAGACTTTGGAACTGTTGTATGAATAGAGTATGTGGATATTAGTAACTTTAATGAGTGCTGAATATTTGTAACATATTTCTTGTAATTTGTTCATGGTTTTTTCCTAAGGAATGTGCTCGTGGGAAACAGGATGGCAAAGGGCACCACGTTGGAGAGCCCCAGTGTAAGCAGCCTGGCCACCTGCCAGAGTGGATGATGTCGTTCAAAGGAGGGCCTACCTGCTGAGCACCTGTGTTCCTCGGCTGACAAAGACGATCTTCAGGACGGAAGCGTCGTGACCTTCAAAAGTCTAGGGAGGAGAAAGAGAGAGAGAGGACGGAATGAACAGAGGGAAAAGATGCCGCAACAGGCCCAAAGGTACCTTTGTGGTGCCGCATGGACTGGACCGCTTTGATCCGCAGGTCTCTTTCATTTATCTCCCCCGCCCACTCCTCTGTGAACTGTTGGGCTTTTAATCTTAAAATAGATTCAGTCCTGTCATACACCGACATCGTGACAAATACAATCCTTCCTTAAATTTCCCAGTAACAAGACTGCACCCGGATTGCACAAACTGAGCTGGTAAAGTGGGGAATGCAAAACCTCTAGCCAACACGTAAAGCCTCTCTCCAGCTCCAACGTATTTCTCCCTCCGTTCTTCTAAGGAGCTCCAGGTTGTGGTACAAGGGCCAAAGAAACTCCATTTTTGGGTTTCGGGTTCGAAGTGAGAAATAATAGCTCAGTGGGAAAATTCCACGGCTTGCCTGCTGGTACAACAGCAAAGGAGAGTTCCTCTGTATGGTATGTAAAATAACGAGCTCCGCACATGGCCCAAAGTTTAAAAGGGTTACCTAACCGTCACAGATAACACGCCATCTTCCCTTATCAATTAGAGTGGTACCGAGAGCTCTCCGCTGTAATAATAAATTCATTCATACTCAACTATTGCTGGAAAGCAGATGATACTAATGGAAGGGCAGATAAACAATTGAACCTAAAGCATGCAGGAGATAAGCCATAAATGGAGGGTTGAAGTGAAAAGATAGCCAAAGAGTTTGAGATGACAAACCATGCATGGGATAGAAAGGTATGTGATGTTAAACAAAGGAAGGCATGTCCAAGAAGACAGTTTGTGCGCGATTATAAAAAGCGTGCATCTTCACTTGTTCGCCAGAGTTCTGGCTTCTGAGGCTTGGGTTCCCCTTTGTTCGAATAAAGTTTTCCCGCTCACTTCACAAGCCTCACTGGTTGTGTTTCTAACTGGAACAAAGACGCCAGGCAACGGCCCACTGGGCTAACAAGGTGGCATAATCCTTTCCCCTCCTGTACCCTTAACAACCACCCAGTGAGGTACACAGACTGAAAAAGAGTGACGGGCCCAAAGCAACATTCCCTCTAAGCTGTGGAGTCTTGTGAGCAAAAATTCTAGTTTGTGAGCTCCTGGCATTAAAGTTGTCAGCGAGCCATTTGGCTACTGCATGAATTTGTCTGCTCTGGAGCAGTGTTCCCTCTAAGCTGAGTTAGTGTGAGCTAGCTCACAGTTTTTTAGCCTCCAGCTCGCACATTTTTGTCTTAGCTCAGGAAGGAGGGCTCCAGAGCACGGAGGCTAAAAAACTGAGCTAGCTCACACAAACTCAGCTTAGAGGGAACACTGGCCCAAAGTTGTGCAGTGGACTTCAAGGACGCAGTGAGAATTCGAACCTGGGTCTCTGCGGCTGAGTACTCTAACTGCTATACTGCACTGGCTCTCAATTTCTAGGGATTAGGTCCACGCCACGGGTCACCTTCAAACAGCTGAAGTCCTGGAGTCCCCAGATCTTCACACTGCCGTCTGCCGAGGAGGTAGCCAGGACCTGGTCCACGGGGGAGAACTGCACGCACCAGACCCCCCGTTTGTGTCCCGAGAAGACCCCCATGAGCGAGCAGTCCTGCGAGGCCCACAGCTTGGCCGTCTTATCCTGGGATCCCGTGGCAATCAGCCTGTCGTTGGGGGAAACCGCCACACTGTTCACGTCCTGAAACAGAGCAGGGGAGAAGAGAATCGTCCAGCCGACGTGCCCTTTTGAAAGCCGCCAAAGAGGCGAGATGTGAAGGAAGCATTTAAATTTTTAAAAACCCACTTGCAATGATTCCATGTTTTGGGGTGTGTGTGTTCCTTTAAATGTTTAGTTTGACTGCAGTGATATGAGAAGAGTGATAGAGGGAGACAAGTGTGATGTGACTGGCTGCTGACGGAGAGTGCGGGAGGAGGGGTGTCTGAGAGGATTCTGTGTGTCTATGAGGAGATTCTGTGATAGGAGAGAGACAAGGAGGGAAGAGTTCTGAAGAGAGTCTGTGTGACTCTGAGATGTTTTATGACAGAGTTCTGTGTGGGAAGTCTGAAGAGACAGCATGGTCTCTGTGACTATGGAATTTTGCTTCTATTCTGTGTGAATAAGGCAAACAGTTTAGTCTGAGTGACTATAAGAGCTGATTCTGTTCTGGGTGAATAAGACAAGGAGATTAGCCTGCTTGGCTATATATATATGAGTGTATAAGCCTGTCAGAGTGGAGTTTGGAGTTTGAGAGACTGTTTGTAGCACCAAGCTTTGCCAGTTATATTTACAAGTTCCTTTCGTCAGCAACTGTACAAAATAACCAGAAACCTATTTTGTTCTTTATTCAATAAATCAATTTTTGTTTAAACATATCCCAGAAATCAGTACAGTCTTTCCTTAGGACCACATAGTACTCTGAAGTGCCCAGACCCTGGGTCATACTACCAAAAGAGAGAGAATTGGAATTTTTACTTCCTGGTGGCAGCAGAAAACTACCAAGTTTATATACATAGAGGGTGGGTTAAAGGAAAAACAGTCTTCCCAAATAGCAAGCACGCCACAACACTGTTTTCTTGAAGATGCTTTGCCAGTTTCCTTCACTGAAGAAGGGACCGGAGAGCCGAAATGTGAGAGTCAACCAGAAGCCCCGTCTCATTTGTGCTTTGGACACTGTGCAGATTTTGATTAATTCGACTTATAAATTTTCCTTGGATTTTTTCCCGTGAGGGTTTTCTGTACGCCACTTTGATACTGGATGGGAATAACTATATTTTTGTATCGAATGTCTAATATGGAATATTGGAAATAATTAATACATTATAATAACACTTTGAGAATATCAGACAAAGTGTGGGTGCACACGAAAGATCACAACTTGGATAAAACTTTGTTGGTCTCAAAGGTGCCACTGGACTCTAACTTTGAGTATATACACTTTGAGTTTTTCTCCCAAGCCCCGTTGGATGCAAGCGGGCACTGCTAACCAGCAGGGGTCATTTCGTAGAAAAAGAGGTGCAGGAGCTCATTAGCATAACTTATTTGCATATGCCACACCCTTTGACATCACCGGAAGTGTGTCAGAAGGCAACACCCACTGCTCAGGCTCCGCTGGACTGTTTTGGATTGCTAGCTATTGGGAGGGGGGGGGAACGTGCAGATCTGTCCTCATAGAGGAGGGAGAGCTTGTACCTGAATAAAACTTGGGTGCCACTGGACTGTTTTGGATTGCTAGCTATGGGGGGGAACGCACAGATCTGCTCTGACAGAGGAGGGAGAGCTTGTATCTGAAGGTGGGCCGGGGGGGGCCTCTGCAACTTACCTGGCTGCTTCTTGCTCCTCATGGCCCGACTGAGGGCTGCTGGGAGCAGGGGGCGGGGCTTGTTGCATGTGCCCGCCCCCTGAGCTCCTTACTGTCGGAGCTCCGCTCCTGTGCGCTCCTGCAGGAAATGACCCCTGCTAACCAGTGTTCCCTCTAAGCTGAGTCAGTGTGAGCTAGCTCACAGTTTTTTAGCCTCAGGCTCACACATTTTTGCCTCCGCTCACGAAGGATGGCTCCAGAGCAAACCGATTGATGCAGCAGCCAAATCGCTCACTCTCAACTTTAATGCTGGTAGCTCACAAAGGAGAATTTTTGCTCACAAGACTCCACAGCTTAGCGGGAGCACTGCCGCTAACCCAATCCCTTCCAGATCCCGCCTCCACGGTACCTTGTCGTGCGCTTTCTCCGTGAGATGGGCGTGGAGGATTTCGGAGCCGGCCGCTTTCGCCTTGGCGGAGAGGGACTCAGGGAGGTGCCACACTTTGATGGTGCAGTCCTGGCTGGCCGTGACCACAAAGCTCTCTTTCATTCTGGAGAGGGAAGGAAGACAGAACAAAGATCAAAGGCAAGGGAGCCAAAAGGGGAGGGGGACACACACAGAAAGATAATGGGTTCCACCTGTACAGGGAATGCATCTTCTTTGACCCAAAAGGCCCTGAGCAGATGTCCCCCCCCTCCCCACTGCCCCCACCAAGTCCTAAGAAACACGGAAGCAACTAAAGGCCTGATAAACTATTTCCACCCTGTTGTCACAGAGTGATTCCCAGCTGTACTTCTCTGGTCCTTCATAAGAAGTGGGACAGTTTTATCTGGCACAGACTCCGGACTTCAAAAGGGGGCACCAAGAGAATGCAAAGAATGCCTAAATCCTTCCAGGATCCGTTATGATCTCTGATCTGGAACCAGTGCACGATGCACCACGGTGAGAGGGAGGCGAAGCAACCTGGCCTTCTCCTCGCTTCCCCCCCCCCTCCCTCCATCGGACTCGGAAGAACAAAGAGCCCTGGCCTGGAGGAAGTGATCCGGAGGCACGAGAAAGGAGCATTCCTAAGGCACCTGGGCTGACGCAGCACAGGGCCCCAAAGTTGCTTATGACCGCTTACTTGCCTCTTTGTGACCTTTGGGGGGGGGGGGGGCCGGCTCTCCAGATCAGAGCCCACTCAGTGGCAGAAAGGAAGAAGAAGAGATTGGATTTGTACCCTGGCCTTCCCTACCCAAAGGAGTCTCAGAGCGGCTTACAAACTCCTTCCAATTCCCCTTCCCCTCCCCACAACAGACACCCTGTGAGGTCGGTGGGGCTGAGAGAGCTCTTTTGAGGACTGCCCTTGAGAGAACACAGCTCTGAGAGAACTTGTGACTGACCCAAGGTCACACCAGCAGCTGCATGTGGATAAGAAGAGAAGAGATTGGATTTATACCCTGCCCTTCAGTACCCGAAGGAGTTTCAGAGCAGCTCACAATCTCCTTTCCCTTCCCTTCCCACAACAGACACTCTGTGAGGGAGGTGGGGCTGAGAGAGCTCTTTTGAGGACTGCCCTTGAGAGAACACAGCTCTGAGAGAACTTGTGACTGACCCAAGGTCACACCAGCAGCTGCATGTGGATAAGAAGAGAAGAGATTGGATTTATACCCTGCCCTTCAGTACCCGAAGGAGTCTCAAAGCAGCTCACAATCTCCTTTCCCTTCCCCTCCCCACAACAGACACCCTGTGAGGGAGGTGGGGCTGAGAGAGCTCTTTTGAGGACTGCCCTTGAGAGAACACAGCTCTGAGAGAACTTGTGACTGACCCAAGGTCACACCAGCAGCTGCATGTGGATAAGGAGAAGAAAAAGAAGAAGAGAAGAGATTGGATTTATACGCTGCCCTTCAGTACCCGAAGGAGTCTCAGAGCGGCTCACAATCTCCTTCCCCTTCCCCTCCCCACAACGGACACCCTGTGACAGAGGTGGGGCTGAGAGATCTCTTTTGAGGACTGCCCTTGAAAGAACAGCTCTGAGAGAACTTGTGACTGACCCAAGGTCACACCAGCAGCTGCATGTGCAGGAGTAGGGAATCAACCCCGGTTCTCCCAGATTAGAGTCTGCGCTCCTAACCACTACACCAAACTACACTACACCAATCTAAAGCAGAGGTGAGGACAGCAGAACGCCTGCACTGCTAGGCCCGTTCTGCTCAACTTCTCCCCGGAACCATTAAGCAGTGTGTAGAAAGCAGACCCCAGCCTGATTCACGTGTCCCTCCACCCCAAAGAGGGATGGAGCAGGAGAACTGGTTGTATGCTATTGTGCTTAGAGGGAGGAAACACGGAAATCCCACCAGCGAGTGCAATAGCACATCCAATCACAACTGCAATAGTATGTGCAATAGCATGTGCAATAGCATGTGCAACGTAAATTCTCCAGGCTTCCAAAGGTATGGAACAGTTCAAAGGAAGAGATAAAGGGTGTCTACAGAATGTGCACAGGTCACACCCTGCATCTAACACTGCAGAGAGACAGACAGACAGACAGAGAGCGGTCCAGATCCTGTGGTGTGCCCTTTAGCCACGACAAACCAGAGGAGGAACTGCCCCAGTTTCCACCCCACCGGCCACGTTCGCAGAGCAGGCTGAAGGGAGGAGACTGTCAGTCTGCCCAGTAAGCAAGCACAGGGCGAGAAGGAGGAGCTTCCGTTACCTGGAGCAAGAGATGGCACCCACTCCGTTTGCGTGCCCCAATCCTTGCGCTACACAGACCACCCGGCCGGTTTTCTTCATCCGCCAAACTCGGAAGCTTTTGTCCTGGAAGCAGAGGCGGTTTCGGTGGGTTTTTCAGAACAAAGCAAAGAACGTAAGAGAAGCCATGTTGGATCAGGTCAAAGGCCCATCCAGTCCCGACACTCTGTGTCACACAGTGGCCAAAACCCAGGGGCAATCAGGAGGTCCACCAGTGGGGCCAGAACTCCAGAAGCCCTCCCACTGTGGGCCCCCAAGCACCAAGAAGACAGAGCATCACTGCCCCAGACATAAGAACATAAGAGAAGCCATGTTGGATCAGGCCAATGGCCCATCCGGTCCAACACTCTGTCACACAGTGGCCAAAACCCAGGGGTCCTCAGGAGGTCCACTAGCAGGGCCAGAACTCCACAAGTCCTCCCACTGTGGCCCCTCAGGCGCCAGAAGACAGAGCAATGGCAGAGACATGATTCAGGACACACTGTGGACAATCCTTCGAGAATGAACTTAAGAACACCAGAAGAGCTCTGCTGGATCAGACCAGTGAGGGTCCATCCAGTCCAGCATCCCATCTCACACAGGGGCCAACCAGTTCCTCTGGAGGGTCAACAGCAGGGCAGAGAGGCCGAGGCCTTCCCCTGATAAGAACCTCAGAAGAGCCCTGCTGAATCAGACCAGTGAGGGTCCATCCAGTCCAGTATCCTGTCTCACACATGGTGCCAACCAGCACCTCTGGATGGCCAACAACAGGGCAGAGAGGCCGAGGCCTTCCTGTGATGTAGCCGCAACACTCCAAAATCTCTTTCCTGGTCAGTCACCACCCGGTCAGAGTCTATGCTGGACTGGATGGACCCTCACTGGTCGGATCCAGCAGGGCTCTTCTGGTGTTCTCCTCAGGGGAAGGCCTCGGCCTCTCTGTGCCCTGTTTGTCTGGATCTCCAGAGGAACTGACTGGCCACTGTGCGGGACAGGATGCTGGACTAGGTGGACCCTCACTGCTCTGATCCAGCAGGGGTCTTCTTAGGTTCTTAAGGAAAGACAAAACAACTGCCCGCTTTTGGACTGCGGAAGCTGACTGCTGCAGATGGTGCCCTTGGTGCCGACATGTCAGAGCGTCTCTGTGCTGGGGAGTGCCAAGCGATGCTCCCTCTAAGCTGTGGAGCCCTGTGAGCAAAAATCCTACGTTGTGAGAGACTGGCATTAAAGTTGTGAGCGAGCGATTGGGTTGCTGCATGAAGTAGTTTGCTCTGGAGCTATCCCTCCTGAGCTAAGACAAAGATGGGTGAGCCGGAGGCTAAGAAACTGTGAGCTAGCTCACACTAACACAGCTTACAGGAATCACTGGTGCCAAGGGGTCAAAACTGCAGGGCTGGGAAGGACATCCTTTGATTCCCCCCACCCCCTGGGTGCCCCCTCTCTAAGCTGCCTCCTTCCCCCTCAACAATGCCCCCTCTCTAAGCTGCCTCCTTCCCCCTCAACAATGCTCCCATTCATCCAACCTGCACAGGTGTGCTCTCTGGGCCCCTGGGTGAAAGCCAACGAGGCATCCTCAATCACAGAGTAGGGGGGGCAGGTAGTCGTTAACTCCCGCGGCAATTGCAGGGAGAAGCAGTGGGGAAGGCCGGGTTTCCAATTAAGAGGGCCTTCCCCCTCCGCAGCTGTGAGGCCTCTTCTCGTGCGGCAGCCCCTGCTGCAGGCTAACAACCCATCACAAGAGCTGATGTCGTACCACTGGATTCCCTTGTGTTCCTGAAGGGACCCCTGAAGTTGGAGAGGACACGGTCCAGGATGATACCCGGGTCCCTCAGGGAATAAAATACTGTTCCTGGGTCAAGCCCTGAAATCCCCAACAAAAACCAATAGGTCAGGGGTCTTCAACGTGGCGCCCACGGGCACCGTGGCAACCGCCAGCACCTTTCCTGATTCCCACCATTGTTCCCTCTAAGCTCAGTTAGTGTGAGCCAGCTCACAGTTTTTTAGCCTCCGGCTCACAGTTCTTTGTCTCTGCTCAGGAAGGATGGCTCGAGAGCCAACTAAGTTATGCAGTAGCGACATCGCTTGCTCACAACTTCAATGCCAGTAGCTCACAAAGTAGAATTTTGGCTCACAAGACTGCATAGCTTAGAGGGAACATTGGTTCCCACCAAGTTTTTTTTTTAAAGAAAGTGGGTGGGGCCCCACAGGGCTCCCACCCAGCAGGGCTCCTGATTGTCCGGGCGGATTAAAACAACGTTATTTCAGCTGCAGCTGCCGCAGCAGTGTCGATAGACCGAAAGTTAAGTATGAGCAGCCAGTGTGACGCGGCGGCAAAAAAGGTTAACGTGATCCTGGGGTTATCAACAGAGGCATAACATCCAAATGGCAAGATGTCATAGTCCCGCTGTACAATGCATTGGTTGGGCCACACCTGGAGACTCGTGTGCCGTTCTGGAGGCCTCCCTTCAAAAAGGGTGTGGACGGAATGGAGCGGGTGCAGAGGAGAGCGGCGGGGAGGATCGGAGGCACTGGAGACCAAGAAGCCCTGTGAGGAGAGGCTGAGGGACTTCTTGGGAATGTTCAGTCTGGAGAATAGGAGCTCAAATTAAGTATTTGAAGGGCTGTGTCACTTAAGGGAGGGCAGGGAGGTGTTCCTATTGACAACAGAGGAGAGGACTCGCAAGGATGGGTTTAAATTAAGGGCGGGGAGGTCCCGGCTGGATATTAGGGAAACCCTTTTTACAGTCAAGAGCTGTGCAACAGTGGAGTCAGCTGCCTAGGGAGGTGGTGAGCTCAGTCTTTAAGCAGCAGCTGGACAAACACTGGTCAGGGACACTCTAGGCCAGTGGTGGCAAACCTATGGCACGGGTTCCAGAGGTGGCACTCAGAGCCCTCTCTGTGGGCACGTGTGCCATCGCCCCAGCCAGGCCCAGACCATCATTAAAGTGTCGAATTCTCTGCCAAATAATTTTAAGGAAATGAAAGCATTTGGGATCGCTTTCCTTACTTTGTTTGGATCATCTTAAGTTAATGTATGAGTTGTTTTTTCTAAAGTGAAACCTCAGTATTCAGGTTAAATGGCCGTGTTGGCACTTTGCGATAAATAAGTGGGTTTTGGGTCGCAGTTTGGGCACTCGGTCTCTAAAAGGTTCGCCATCACTGCTCTAGGCTGATCCCGCATTGAGCAGGGGGTCCGACGGCCCCTTCCAACTCTGTGTTGAGTCCATGATCCAATGGTTCTATTCTCACTCCTCCCGGGAACATTTAAAAAACTACCCCCCCCTTCTTCTGTAGTTGTGCCCACCAGCCTGTGTCAGAATCCCAAAATTCGTGCCATGGCATCGCCCCCGGCAGTAGGGGCTCACCTTAGAGCAGCTAACGAACAGCGTCCCCTTCCGGAAGACGTCCAGGGCAAGAACCGTGTCTGCAAGGAAGAAAGGAAGGAAGGAAGGGCAGACAAACATTATGTTGCCTTGTAATTTTCACGAAACAAGCAAGCACTGTATAAATAACACAGACCAAAGAGTACCCAAGCAATACACACAAAAGTGAAAACGTTTACATGACAAGACTAGCCAGGAATAACAAGGAACCACATTGATCAGTAATAGCAAAATGACATCATGTAATACACAAGTGGTACTGAGGGAACAGAAGACACGGGACGGAGACTCCGGATTTCAATCTTCATTTCGATCGCTCTTCTTCAAAAACTTCACCATACTTCATAAAGCACTCATAAGGTGCATTCAGACGGGGCATTTGCAACGGAATAGGTGCCAGTTGGAATCGGTGTACTTACCGGCATTCACATGGCGAACATCTGCCTTCCGTCCCTAACCGTTGCAAAGAGCTTTACACCGTTGTATTCTGCCACTAGGTCCCCAAGTGGTGGTATCCTGAGTGCAACGGTTGTAATCGCTTTACCCCCCTGTCTGATCGCTCTCCACCGTTGTAGAGCCACTTCCGTTCGGAAGCCCGAGCTAGCTCACAGTAACTCAGCTTAGAGGGAACACTGCTCCCGAGTCCCTCAGCCTTTCCTCCCAGGTCTTGGTCTCCAGGCCTCTGATCATCCTCCTCACTCTCCTCTGCACCAGCTCCATTCTGTCCACATCATTTTGGAAGCGAGGTCTCCAGAATTGCACACAATACTCCGGGTGCGGCCTGACCAATGCGGTGCACAGTGGGACTACTGACACCATTCTTAGCCCATTGACAAAACAGTATATACAGGCAAAAATCAATCCTTATATTGAAACACTCAAAACTGGGCACCCGATCGGCAATAGAACGTTTTTTTTTATGGTCGGCCTGCGAAGTAGGTTAGGCTGAGTCACACAAGCGAGCTTCCACAGCAAGAACGGGTATTCGAACTCCAGATCCTAGTCCGACACTCTAACCCCTGCTGCACGCTGGCTCTCAAATGCCTGTGGCCATAAGAGCATGCCCTAGTCACGGGCGAAGGCGTGGAATGGAAATGGGTCAGGAATAGCACACTGGTAAACAGCTCAGATTTGGGGAGGGAAGTGAAAAGTCAGCCTGCCCGGAGATGGAAGTGAATAAGAAATGAAGTTTTAAAAATAGAATGCTTACAGGACTAGACAGCCAAAGGCAAAAATTGTTCAAGGCTAAATTTCACAAAAGCTGACATGGCCAGCTGACTCTACAGGTCTAAGGGAGGGGCCATGGCTCAGTGGCAGAGCCTCTGCTTGGCATGCAGAAGGTCCCAGGTTCAATCCCCGGCAGCATCTCCAGTTAAAAAGGACCAGGCAAGAGGTGATGGGAAAGACCTCTGCCTGAGACCCCGGAGAGCTGTCAAGAGGGGCCGTGGCTCAGTGGCAGAGCCTCTGCTTGGCATGCAGAAGGTCCCAGGTTCAATCCCCAGGATCTCCAGTTAAAAAGGACCAGGCAAGAGGTGATGGGAAAGACCTCTGCCTGAGACCCTGGAGAGCTGTAAAGAGGGGCTGTGGCTCAGTGGCAGAGGCTCTACTTGGCATGCAGAAGGTCCGAGGTTCAGTCCCCAGCAGCATTTCCAGTTTAAAAGGACCAGGCAGGAGGTGATGGGAAAGACCTCTGCTTGAGACTCTGGAGAGCTGTCAAGAGGGGCTGTGGCTCAGTGGCAGAGCCTCTGCTTGGCATGCAGAAGGTCCCCAGTTCGATCCCTGGCATCTCCACTTTAAAAAGGACCAGGCAGGAGGCAACGTGAAAGGCCTTTCTCTGCCTGAGACCCCGGAGAGCCGCTGCCAGTCTGAGTACACAATACTGACTTGGATGGACTGAGGGTCTGAATTCGGGGTAAGGCAGCTTCATGTGTCTTTGTGTATTTTGTATTTCGAAGGGAGGGGGGGCTTTGGTTCCCACACTGTTAAATGTACTTTACCCTCCGCCTCCCCTTTTGAGGAAACTATGTATTTTATCAAACCATGTTAACATGTCCGATACTGCCTACAAAATATCACCCCACGCAAAGCCAGCTCAAGAGAATTTCCACGCTCGTGGGGGGTTTTTTAAACGGAAGTGCCCTGAGCGAGAAAGGAATCTTTGCCATTTTCCAAATTGGCAGCTACTTACTATTAACCCCCCCCCCCCGCAGGAGGACCCTGATTTAAAGACTTGCTGAGTTCTGCTCTCAGCACACTTCCCACGACCAACCCAGCCCTTTCCTACCGCCTACCAGTGTGGCCGTACAGGATCTGGCAGTCAGACGTCGCTAGCTCAAAGACTTTGAGTTGGGGGCTGTTGGTGGCCACGACAATGTGGGAGTCCCCTGGTCCCAGGAACCGGACATCCAACACTTCTCCATTGTAACCTGCAAACTGAGGGGAAAGAAGGGGGGAGAAACCAAGAAGAAGAAGAGATTGGATTTATACGCCGCCCTTCACTACCTGAAGCCGTCTCAGAGTGGCTTACCATCCCCTTCCCCTCCCCACAACAGACACCCTGTGAGGCAGTGGGGCTGAGAGAGCTCTTTCGAGGACTGCTCTTGAGAGAACAGCTCTGAGAGAACTTGTGACTGACCCAAGGTCGCCCAGCTGGCTGCATGTGGAGCAGTGGGGAATCAAACCCGGTTCTCCCAGATTTGAGTCCACGCTCTTAACCACTACACCAAACTGGCTCTCTAAGACCACTGGGTAAGGAAAGCAACCCACTGAAGAAGGGCTACAGAAATATTCCCAAGTTGCTCTCATGTAGAGATAAGCTTTGGGGAAGGGAATGGAACACAGGTCACACACCTGTCACGAAAACCTAAGTCTGAGGCTACTGCGGACTTGGTTGCAACTTAACAATGCAGGTAGAACTAGGGAGTTCCGGAACCGTCCCCCTCCCCACCCACTATCCCAGGTCCTAGCAGCTTCGTGCAAAGGCACAGAGGAGGTACCTGCTTCCTGAGCTGAAGCGTCCGTGCATCATAAAAGATGATGTTGTGTTCTGCGCTGACTGTGACGATCTCGTCTCTCACCGGCACCAGCGCACAGTGCACCAGACTGTGCTCGCCAGCCTCTTCCTCGGAAGCGGCTCGATGGCGGGGCAGCGGCTGGCTGTACACGCAGGCGGCGGTGGACGCGTTCCAGAGCTGGAGGATACCTAATAGGCGGCACAGATTGCCAGTTATGGTCACAAGCAGGGCTGTTTTTGGGCAGGAACGGAGTTCCTGGCTGACTCCCGAGTTGGCCACGCCCAGCAGGAACTCATTAGCATAATAGGCCACACCCAACAGCAGAAACGCATTAGGATTGGCTACATTAGGGGTGTGTGGCCTAACATGCAAAGGAGTAAACTGTGGCCTAGTATGCGAATGAGCTGTGTCGTCAGGGGGTGTGGCCTAATATGCTAATGAGTTTCTGCTGTTGGGTGTGGTCTATTAGGCTAATGAGTTCCTGCTGGGCTTTTTCAACAAAAAAGGCCTTGGTCACAAGAATGGGCGGGGCCAGAAACACAGACCTTCAGGGGACGGGACTCTTCTCTTTGTAAGACTGATGACAAACTCAGCAGGTGAAGAGGAACACTAGCCCAAACCCCGGCTCTCAACCACTCCTAGCAGATTTAGGGCTTTTCTGAATTCTCCTTTTCTGCACTTGTAAGCGCCTGTTTCTTTGGGTTTATTTTTTCTGCTCCACGCGTGTTTTGCTCCCTCTGGAGGTCAATTCAATATTACACCAGTTTGTGTCCATCACATAAACCAGGGGCGTTGAACTCATTTGTTACGAGGGCCGGATCCGACATAAAAGAGACCTTGTCGGGCCGGGCCACGTGTGTCATAAAATGAAATGCCAGGTAGCGGAGATATAAACTTTATAAAGGACACAAACACAGAGGGTTTTTTTTTTTTACTTAAAATAAAAACATGCTTAAAAGATTAGCACTCTCGCAATATTTTGTTTATTTAACAGTGTCTGATAACGGACACCTCTTGCTCTGAATGATGGCATCAAAATGTCTGTGCTGTTGCAGTCCTGAGTATGCTGTTCAGGTGTGTATCTGTGAGCTGCAAACCTACGACGACGCGGCAGCAGCAGAACTGGAAGCAGCAGCAGACGACAGCCAGTTCCACTGCGGGCCTGATGGAAGCCCTCTGGAGGGCTGATCCGGCCCCCGGGCCGCATGTTTGACACCCCTGATGTAAACCTTTAGTTTAATTCTTTAGGATGATCTGCTGGACATATCACATTGACCACGAGAGGAAGCAAAACGTGTACAGAACAGGTGGGAAAACCACCACCCCCCAAAAACAGGAACTTACAAATTAGGAAAATGAGAAAGCTCTTATTCCCATTTGACAGAGGAGTATAATGTGCACAGATCACGATAGGGCAGTTGCTTTCAGGTACAGGATCAGAAACAGAATACAGGGGGTTTCTATCCTCACCTCTCCCCCACAGGGGAGAACCAACTGAAAAGTGAATCCAAGGGGAGGGCCCGATTTATCAAGCCCCAGTGGGTTCTGATACCACTAGGGACAACAGAGAAAAGTAGACTATTCACCTCTAAGGTCAGCCCTCCCCTGCTTTCGTTTTTCTTTTCTCTATAATAATTATTCTCCCCCTCCACCCCCGAACCTCAGTTTTATATTTAAACTGTCCTAGGGTGGTGGGAGTGGATGGGGAGACAGCTTGGAGAAACGACGACTGAGGGGTGACATGCTTGAGGTTTATAAGATTATGCATGGGAAAGAGCAGGTAGAGAAAGAGGTACTTTTCTCCCTTTCTCACAATACAAGAACTCGTGGGCACTCCATGGAATTGCTGAGCGGTCGGGTTAGAACGGATAAAAGGAAGTCCTTCTTCACTCAAAGAGTGATTAACACTTGGAATTCACTGCCACAGGAGGTGGCGGCGGCTACAAGCATGGACGGCTTCACAAGGGAATTAGATAAGCATATGGAGCAGAGGTCCATCCGTGGCTATTAGCCACAAGGTATAGATAGGGGCTCTGGGGCAAGTGATGCTCTGTCTTCTTGGTGCTGGGGGGGGGGGTCAACAGTGGGAGGGCTTCTAATGTCCTGGCCCCACTGGTGGACCTCCTGCTGGCACCTGGTATTTCTGGCCACTGTGTGATACAGAGTGTTGGACTGGATGGGCCTTTGGCCTGATCCAACATTGGCATCTCTTATGTTGTTATGTTCTTATGACAGAAAAAAAACCAAAAGTGGCAAGTTTCTAGACATGTGATATGTGACTGGAGCAGAAGGGCTTTTAAGGCCCAGCGTGACCACTAATTTGGCTCAAATTCCATTCTTGGCACTCACTTTTGATTTCTGCCTTTCCAAGGGAACAAGGGCCACGAATCGCAAGAACAAAAAACAACAACTCGGGTGCCCCTCCCTGCCCCCCTTCTGAATGTTCAGTCGCTGACAGGGGATGGGAGCACATCCAGAAGTATTTCCCTCACCTTTGCTGCCTGCGGTGAGGAAGTGAAGACCTGATTTCTTCACACCCAAGGCCGAAAAGTCTACTCCTTCAGGCAACAGGACGACGGATTCGACGCTCTAAGAGGGAAGAGAGAAGAGAGGGTCGGTGGACAGCAAAAGACGATCTGCGTCACCTGAGGAACCATTTCTGTTTCTGCGTATAAGAACTTCCCAAAGAAACATATAACGGATGTAATTTTTCAGCCTCACAAAACAGCGGCTGAAATGAGAAAATTCAGCAAGTGCACTGCAAATGAAAGAAGGAAATGATGGGAGGATGTTTATTCGTGGCTCCGTTCGCACACAAAGGGACAAGATGTTTTTAGAACTTCTGCGAGCGATGACCATCTGGTTAGGGTGGCAGGCATAGGCACAGACCACAGAGATGGCACCAAACATCAGGAGAGCCCTGCTGGATCAGACCACTCAGGGTCCATCTAGTCCAGCATCCCGTCTCACACAGGGGCCAGCCAGTCCCTCTGGAGGAAGTCCAACAACTGGGCAGGGAGGCCGAGGCCTTCCCCTGATAAGAACCTCAGAAGAGCCCTGCTGGATCAGACCACTGAGGGTCCATCTAGTCCAGCATCTCGTCTCACACAGGGGCCACCCAGTTCCTCTGGCGGGCCAACAACAGGGCAGAGGCCGAGGCCTTCCCCTGAGAAGAACCTCAGAAGAGCCCTGCTGGATCAGACTAGTGAGGGTCCATCCAGTCCAGCATCCCGTCTCTCATGGAGGCCAACCAATTCCTCTGGAGGGCCGACAACAGGGCAGAGAGGCCGAGGCCCTCCCCAGATAAGAACCTCAGAAGAGCCCTGCTGGATCAGACCAGTGAGGGTCCCTCTAGTCCAGCATCCCGTCTCACACAGCGGCCAACCAGTCCTTTTGGAGACCCAACAGGGCTCAGAGGCTGTGGCCTTCCCCTGATGTTGCCTCCAGGCACTGGGACTCAGAGGATTAGTACCTCTGAATGTGGAGGTTCCGTTCAGTGACCACGACTAGTAGACACTGACAGACCTCTCCTCCATGAAGCTGCCTAATCCCCTCTTCAAGCCGTCTGTGCCTGTGGCCATCACTCCATCCTCTGGCAGCGAATTCCACATTTTAATGGGGCAACAACCATGTCCCTCACAGCCATGTGTAAACTAAACCCCATTAAACACTTGAGCAGGCAGGGAGACACCCAGGGGTAGCTATTCACGTAAGAACCTATCTAGCACACTTCCTCTCCAACAAGGGACTTGAGGGCAGTTCACAACATGCCCAGGAACTGCCGTCATCCTCCAGCAAGGAAGTCGTGGGAAGCCCTCACATCTCAATATCCCACTGAACCAGGAAGACACTCATAGTCACTTCACCTCGTAGACGGGGACAGTTCTCTTGACTGCTCTTGTATTCAGATCCCAGACGGTACAGATTTTATCGCGACCGGAGCTGCAAACAAACACAACATTGCCGTCAGCCTCTTAAGAAGAGCCCTGCTGGATCAGAGCAGTGAGGGTCCATCTAGTCCAGCCTCCTGTCTCACACAGTGGCCAACCAGTTCCTCTGGAGGGCCAACCACAGGGCAGAGAGGCTGAGGCCTTCCCCTGATGTTGCCTCCTGGCTCTGGGATTCTGAGGTTTAGTGCCTTTGAATGTGGAGGTTCCCCCCAGTCACCGTGGCTAGTAGCCACTGATAGACCCAACCTCCGTGAATCTGTCTAATCCCCTTTTCAAGATGTTTATACATCTTTCAAGATGTTTATACAATACAAGAACTTGTGGGCACTCAATGAAATTGCTGAGCGGTCGGGTTAGAACGGATAAAAGGAAGTCCTTCTTCACCCAAAGAGTCACTGCCCCAGCTGGATCAGATCTACGGTCCAACCACGTGTTGCACTGTGGTCAACCAGATGCCCTGGACGGTCTACAAAAAGGGCGTGGTTCCAAAACCTCCCGGGACAGCTATTCACCAGCACGCTGCCTCTAATCCCTAAAAAACTTTTATATAACGTTAGCTACTTTTTGGGAGCTGCGGTGGCTCAAGGGGTTAAAACGCTGAACTGCAGGCTGTGGAAAGTCGGTAGTTCAGCAGTTCAAGACCTGAGTGTGCCACATGACAGAGCGAGCTCCCGTCTCTAGTTCCAGGTCCTGCCAACCTAGCAGTTCGAAAGCAAGAAATTGCAAGTAGATAAATAAGTACCACTACAGTGGGAAGGTAACAGCGTTCCGTGCGCCTTGGTGTTTAGTCATGCCGGCCACATGACCACGGAAATGTCTTTGGACAGCGCTGGCTCTTCGGCTTTGAAACGGAGATGAGCACTGCAACCCTAGAGTCGGATTTGACTAGCTTTCGAGCAAGGGAACCTTTACCTTTACCTAGCTACTTTTAAAATATTAAAATATGTTAGTATTGCTTTATTCTAAATTATCCTAGAATCTTTATTGCTGTATAGACTTATGGTCTATAGTGGCTAGTGTTTGAAATACTAGTTACTCTGAAATATTAGTTACTCTTGATTTGATTTTCTGTAGTGTCAGATTTTGTTGTGTTTATGTACATTATTGTTCGTTGTTCTTTTACTTTATTTACATACCACGGCCAGAATCCAAGTAAGAAAGAAAAGGAATGACCATAGCCTAGTAAAATATAAAAATTAAGGTATACAAATATAAGAGTGTATAAAATTCAAACTAATAGTAATGAAGCCAATTTCTAACCTGACTACATAAAGATCCACCTGACTACATAAAGATATAGATATAAAATACAATCAGCTACTATCTTCCACATTAAGCTGGGAAGTATATATTGTTCATTGTTTTATGCTATTTGAAATTTAATTTTTTTTTAATGAAGTACACTGCCCCTGAACATGGAGGTTCCATTGTGGCATCATGATGAATGGCCTTGAATTTCTCTTACACCTTTTTAAGACCACTAAGCTAACAGCCCTCAAGGACAACAAAGCAGCAGAGTCGTTTCAGAGGGCGGCCACGTTGCCCTGCAGCAGAGGAGCGAGATTTGAACCCGGTACCACCTTACGGACCAACAAGACTTGGGGAGTATGAACTTTCGAGAGTCAAAGATAGGGAGCCACGACTCTCAAAAGCTTGTACCCCAAAAAGTGGCAAGAAAAGCAAATACTTCTATGCCTCATTCTCAGGCACAGACATTGTCTCACTGTTGAACGTGAGAGACATGGGTTCAAATCACGCCACGACCAATTGTATGTCCTCAGGCCAGCCGTGACTTCCTTGCCAGCCTCAGTTTCCTGTTCCCATTCTCCAAACAGCTACAGGCCCTTCTCCAAAGATTTCTTGTGAGCCAGCTGTTGGAGTGAGCGACCCGGCGTGCCTGGACACGGGGGGCGGGGTGGGAGCCGCTATATAGATACAAGAGCGTAATCTCCTTGAATGGGATGCTTCCCTTTGTCTTAACCTGGGAGCAGTGTTCCCTCTAAGCTGAGTCAGTGTGACCTAGCTCACAGGTTTTTAGCCTCCAGCTCACACGTTTTCGTCTCGACTCAGGGAGGAGGGCTCCAGAGCAGACTCATTTATGCAGCGGCCAAATCGCTCGCTCACCACTTTCATGCCGGTAGCTCACAAAGTAGAATTTTGGCTCACAGGACTCCACAGCTTAGAGGGAGCATTGCCCGGGAGCTGCCTCTGCCTCCTCCTCTCCCTCTCTCCTCTCCTTCTCTTGACATGGCTTTCCATGGACACACAATGTCTCTGCAAATCTTCCCTGTCGATACAATACCCTCCTATTCCCACCCACACAACGCCAAGCGAGCTGGCCATTCGTGATAGGGAAGGTACTCTTTAGATTAGGCTTTTCTCTCTCTCCTTTCAACTG